AGCGATTCTGGCCCTGCATTTACTTAGTTTCGGATCAATACCAAAATTCCCAGTATCACCCACCTCTACAAATAATCACCCAGCCAGAACACGGTGCACTAAATAATAAAACACAATTTAACAAAGCTTCAAGGCAGATAATTTTCCTTGAGAAATTTTAATAATCGAGATACTTGAATCATTCAATGAATTGTTTCGAAGCATTATGTGCATCGTGTGCATTTACATCGCAACATGCTGACTTTGTCGGCGCTGATAAAGTTCACTGGTTAGATGGTGCGTTAGTGGACTGGTGGTTCAGCCCGTGAAGCAGTTTTCGTGCTCATCTCCTTGTCACGCGACACGCTGTGCCAACAGAATGAATCAAACTGTGTCTTCCAAAATGCTTTCAGAGTTGCTTTTGTACTTTTGGAGTTTTTTTCTTAAAGTTTTATTGACTCTAGATTAGAGTGGTTAGACAAGAAAGTGGGTAATGAAAGAGGAGGAAGACATACTGCAAAGGTCATCAGGTCAGGACTCGAACCTGTGACAGCTGCGTCAAGGACTCAGGTCGCCATATGTGGGTTGTGCTTTACCTCTGCAGAATGAACATTCAAGGATTTTTTTACAAATTGATTGCAAAAGTTTACAAATTGTCTCCAGTAAAAAAAAGGATCTTTTGTCTGGATCAGACAAAAGAATGGCAAGTGGCTGTACATTAAAACCTGAACAGAATAATATCAATTCAAATGAAATATACTGGAAATTTTTGTATTTTTTTATTTATTTTTATTAAAAATACTTTACTGCAAAGATCGATAAAATGATAAACAATATAAAGTGGTTTATTCACCACTTTATTATTTGCGTAGGAGTAGCAATGTGTGGGTACAAAATAGCAAAGGGAGGCATTTACAGTTTTTATTTTGACTTTTGCTACTTTTTCTCATTATTTGTTCATTCCCTTTACTTGAGAATGGCAACAGCTTAAAAATGATGAGATATGAATTCAGGGACAAAAGAAGAAGGAATATGCACAAAAAACTACCTGGAAGTTGTCTTATTTTGAAAATTGTCTACCAATAGGTCTTCCATGACTGGTGTGTTGGTGCTAAAATATTATGTGTGTTTCTAATATTTTTTCATAGATTCAGAAATTAGAACAATCTATATTCATGTATATTTGTTAATAAGAAAAGACCTAAGGTTTAAATTTAAAATGATTTCTTGACAGTTTGACTGTTAAACATGACATGTCACTGGTTCATTGTGTCTGAGTAATCCAAAATGCAGAGGTAAAAATAAAGCTAATGAGAAGAAAAGTGACCAATGTCTATAGCAAAATGACAGAAATGTTCAAGACATTTTCAAAAGAATATATAAAATGTTTTTGACAAAATCTACAGAAAGGAAAGACTCTTTGGGCAATAATTCATATAAGTAATGTGTGAAAGTGAAAAATGTGACACTTTCTGTTCCTTTTTTTAACCAGTTTGGGTTTTTTAATGGTTCGCCTAAACCAACAGATTTTTCTTGACAAAACTAAATATTTATTAAATTTTCTTAGTGACTTTTTGTGTCTATGCACTGATGTGTAACTATCTCGAGTTGCGTGTGTGTGTGTGTGTGTGCGCGCGTGTGTACAGGACCAGGCTTCCTGCACTCTTAGCTGATTTGCATGTTCTGGTCATTTCCATACTGGAACCTTGGCTGTGAAACTGGCTGTGCCGCAGGGGGAAAGAAGGGTTGGTTCAGGGTGGTAAGGGGGTTATAAGTGTATTTGCATTTTGTGTTTAAACCTGCCCTCTGCCTCTTTCGTTTGCTCTCTCTGTCTCTCACACACAGCCCAATAGGCCCAATTTGACATTCAAATGATGCAAGCTTATCCAGCAAACCTTTGTACCACTGTACTCTGTCATTTGTCTCTTCACACACATGTAGTTGGAAATCTTCATAAAAGTACTTTTTAAAAATTTATTAATAAAAGTATTTGTTTTCCTTGAACTTTTCCACATTTTACAATATTAACTTTTCCACATTTTGCAGACATCAAAACACATTTTGATGTGTTTTACTGGAATTTTATGTGTATAGCTAACAAAAAATAGTGCAAATTGAAAGGAAATCCAGACATATTTTCAGAAATAAAAATATCAAAAGTATGGCAATCATTTGTTTCAAGGTCCCTTGAGTCAACATGTCCTTTCACTACAGTTACAACTGCGAGTTTTTGAGGTTTATCTCAACAACTCAAGCTCAGTCAGATTGTATGGAGAACATCTGTGATGATCAGTTTTTTTCTCTTGCCACAGATTTTCAATTAGATTTAGGTCTGGACTTTGAGTAGGCCATTCTAGCACATGAAAATGTTTTGATCTAAATCAGTGCTGTTCAAATGTTTTGCCCTGGGGGCCAAAACTGGCAAATTTACACCACATGTGGACCACTAAAAACATTACATTAAAAATGCAAAACTTGATTTATTTTTTAATTTTAGCATCTGCTCAACAATAATCAATTTATTAATGAAATCTGTATATCTGTGGGTTTTGGTGATGAGGTAGACGCTGTGGACCCAGGTATTGATGAATAATGGAAGTTTTAAGGGTGAACAACAAATAGCACAGAGAAGTCCAGGCAGCACAGGTGAGCATAAAGACAAGGAACTCAAATGCTGGTAGTATTGGTAGAAAACAATAACAGACAATAACAGACAGTAAAGACAGCTAGACAGGGATCTGATAACACAGGTGGGAGTAAATACACAAGAGGTAATCAAGGAACACAAGACACAGCTGGAAGCAATCAAGGGCAGACAAGACATCACAGGAACTAAACTGACAGAAAAACCAATCCTCATAGTTTGCTTTACATAGACTACCACCATTAACCAATATATTACATGTTTTTGTTATATTTATAACCATGTTTAGTAACACATCACATTCTGTGTTATAGTTTAGAAAACAAGATGTATATTTTTTTAAGTTAGAGTAAAATAATTAACCTTAAGGCTTGAAATTATAAATTTTTGTACAAGTTTGATGGGGTTTCTCAGAAAAGAACTAAAATGATACAATTGATTCACATGTTAAATGTTCTTACTGTGCTTAAGGATTTCTCCATTAACTGCACACACAAGCCTTGCAAAACTATTCATACTTGAAAATATTTGATATTTTTTCCTATTGCAGCTGCAAACTTAAATAAATTTTGATTAGATTTATGCGTAACATGCTTTTGTATTCATCCTCTTTTAACCTGGTGCCCTTAGTGCATACAAAACCTTTCAAAGGTGAGCTAAGTAGTTGGTAGAGTTAATATAATGCAATACTATACAATGTACTGAATTCTGTGAAAGCCTCATGAGTTTAAGAACATTATTGAGCAAACATCTTGATGACAAAGCATACCTGTCAGGGAGGAAATTATAAAACAATTTTTACAAGCTTTGAACAGATCTCTGGTCAACCCATCACGTGAAAATAAAAAGAATATAAGAGATCTGGTTGGTTTAGATTAGGAGTGTCCAAACTGTGGCCTGGAGTCATGTGTGGCCCTTGAAATGATTATCTCCGGCCCCTGACCATAAGTCAAGCATGTTAAAAATTTGTCCAAAGATTTTTGAAATTGCCTCTTTTTCTTTTAATAAGGCAATAGTCCAAAGCCTTTTATGTTTATGATCTTTAATGATATTGTGAGGATTTGGTTTTTCTGTGTGTCAGTTTAGTTCCTGTGTTGTCTTGTCTGCTCTTGATTGTTCCCAGCTGTGTCTTATGTTCCCTGATTACACCAAAAATTCCCTCTTGTGTTCCCTGCTCCTTGTCAGCTCCTTGTCTATGCTGTCTAGCTGTCTTACGTTGTATTGTTTTCTACCAGTACTACCAGTGTTTGAGTTCCTTGCTTTTGTCCTCACCTGTGCTGCCTGGACTTCTCTGTGCTTTTCGTTGTTCAGCATTAAAACTACCATTATTCATCATAACCTGGGTCCACAGCGTCTACCTCATCACCAAAACCCACAGAACATCAAACAGGATTTGACACCACAATGCAACTCTGAGGTTTGGATTCAGCTCTATTAAGATCTCTTTTTTATTTTTGTTCTTAATGTTTAATTTGTTACTTTGCTTGTTTAATTTCAGTACCTTAGATTCATTTAACTTTTTCCCTCATTTTACACTGTATTAATCCAATTAAATCTACAAATTGTTAGAAATGGTAGAATAAATAGAAATATGAATCTCTTTCCTTTTCCTATTAGGCAATAAAACTAATAACTTCCACCATTTTTGTTCTATTAATGGATTAACTTTGATACAATTAGAAATAAAGTTTAGGAATACATGTTTAATGGATACATGGGGATTATCTTACTTTTTCTTTTTCAGCAAGTCACATATCTCCTTTTTTATGTATCATAGTGCAATTAGCAGGTCAAACTGTATCCTTCAAAATAGGCCTAAATCCTGTTGTTTTATACCACATATTCTATGATTTCCTTTTAATTGTCTTATCCTAATCTTGTAGTGTTTAAATCTGTATTTTATAATCCTTATTTGTAGCTGATACTAGCACTTTGAGATATCTGTAAATGCAAAGTGTTATAAATAAAATGTGTTATTAATATAAGACCATAAGAAAACAAGGAATCTATATCAGCCACAAAAATACTGCATCTCTAATTAACATAATACCTCATAACTGGAACTGCACGATTTAAACTTGGTGTCAAAATGAAACCAAAATCAAAGACGATATATTTCAGAAATACTTTGCTTAAATGTGATTAATGTGTGTCTAATCCAACACATCCCATTTAACAACCTTTGTTGTCTTGATTTGTTTTGAATTTTACTTTTTGGAAGACAACATTTTAAAATATGTGTTTTGTTCTTTTCCTCTTTCCACATCCAGAGCGAAACGGAATAGACTTTAATCGACAGGTGAGTATGACATCACTTCCAGAGTTTGAATTCTCCTGAATCAGGACTGTGTTAATGACGTCTGTTTTCCTCTGGATGAGTCAGGATGATCTTTTATTAAACATGCCATCCCTTCCTGTTTGCTCGCATGCAATCTAATGTTTGTTTCCTGCACTGTGGGTGAAACAAATGTCTTCGAATTAAATGAACTGCATGCAAACCCATCTACAAGTCTGTCATTCAGTGACTGCATGTTTAGCTTTCAGTCAGAAAAAGTTTATTTGACTCCAGAAAGAGCATTTAGCAAAAGAGACAATTTGATATTTAGCTTTAAGATCATTAGACAAACTTTAATATAAGCCAAAGATAACATAAATGAACGCAAAAAGCAAATTTCACATGATGGCTTCATTTATTATTGAAACAAATTGTGCAGATTTGTTTAATTAAAAGAAAACTGGAGAGTTTTCAATTTCAAACAGCCTGACTTAAGTCTGAACTTTGATTAGACTACTCAAAATGTTAATTTCAATGATTTTTTTGTAAGAATAACTAAAATATTAGAATATGTAACATGGGAGTAAAAGATGTGAAAATTGGGCAGCTAAATTGAGACATACCCATAAGGAAGACTAGATCTTATAATAATGCATATAGGAATACAATTAGAATTGATTAAAAGCAGCCTTTATTGTCCGAAAAAGGGGGAAATTCAAATATAACAGCAGCATTGAGTATAGGTTCACACAAAAAGTTCTTAATGTGTTAAAAAACAATATGTTAAAAACAATAAGAATGACATTAATAAAAATATGCTGTACAAGCCTATGACAGAAAACACTGAAATTATTAGAAATAAGAATATCGGACATATGCTAAGGTATATTTGGCGTTTGTTCTACCACCAGATGCACTGTCTATTTTATATATATTTTCTCTCAGAAGTACAGATGTTAAATAGATGACACATTTCTTTCAAAATGCATGTTTTTGTTGCTGTGGGAGTTTGGTAAACCAGTTTCCCGTGTAGGTACATGCCCAGATCCACAGGAAAACTATTTGCCTATGCCAGGTACGATACCACAAACAGCCAAGAACATGATTTTCAGTCAGACATTTAAAAATTGCTAATTAAAATACTTTATTATAGTGCACAAAACGTATATGTACCTGTCAAAGATTCAACACTGAATTAGGAACAACAGCAATGTGCCACTCATTGCCAGAAAAACTTATGGTGCTAGCTTAATTGCTAATTATAAACTATGACTAAGAAAACAACCATACTGGGAATAAAACAAAACTCTTTCAACATTTTTATACATTTTGATCACAAATCTAATCAAAATCTAAAAACTTTGTTCCATGTCTTAAAAAGGGGCTCATGAGATGTTTAAACAGTTTTCTTTTTACTTGTAGCATTTAGTGAAGCTAAAATGCTAATGTTAACTTGAACATAAGCAGGAACCAAAGTGTGAATCAATTTCAGCTTATTTTTACATGTTCTGTCCTCCTGCAATTTACTCTGTGTATTAAATAGCTGGAACAAAGTATTTTCTGAAAACATTTGATGATAATTTTATTTAATTTTCATCTAGCATTAGTTACTGTTTTTTTTTCTCAGTCACCATCAGTGGGGGTTGTATATATGCAGAAATTAATGTGACATTCAGTTTGACTTGATTTTTAAGATGAGAGAAATTTCCTAAAATGTAGGAAAACCGTAGTGATATTTGTTATTTGTGTTGAGTCAGAAGGCTAACTGCTGTTGGCAAGACTAAAATTGTAGCCTTTTTGTCGCATAGACTACAAAAAATTACAACACGTTCACAAATAGTGATTGTTCATCAATATGCTTCCCAAAGACACAGTAAAAACAACAAAAAATGAAAAAGGTTGACAGGAATTTTTCCAGTTTCTTGTAATCAAGAATTTGAACTTTAAACGACTTTGAATGCTGATTTTAGCAGCGTTTTGATTATGAGGAGAAATCGGAAGCTCCATTATGCTGCTAACGGTTAGCTAATGTTGTAAGACATAACTGGCTTACAAGGTTGAGTCCTAAATGTCTTTAAAAAGTTGTGGTCGAAGAGTTTTTTAAAAATGTATATGCAAATTTTGTTGAGAGAGATACCTGTTTCAAATAACAATAACGAACAAGATAAAAATAGTCAAAAATATAATGCACAATACATACAACAAGTAATTTGGTTCAGTTTAACTTTGCCATACTTTATTATTCGCAGAAGAAAACTGTAAAATCTATTGAACAATAAAACCACAAACCATATTAGATTTTCCGGAGTTGCATATTGTCATCATATTTATGAGGAGAAGATCGTGAATGAGTGATGGACATTTAAACGTGACCTGCTGCGAGGGACAAATAGAACAATACAAGTTTTAGTAATAAATGTTTTAGCTCACCAAGCTAACAACATTTAGCAACATGAATCAACATAAAGCTAATTAGCAGCCTTTTGCACTTTCAGAGACTATACAGTACTATGATTTCTGATGCACAAAATGTCAAAAGTTCAAACAAGCATAACCAGATGTCAGTATGTTTTCGCATGCCCCAATAACTTCCTGTTCACAGACTACGGGAAGAAGATTTATATAACTGAATATCAAAGTACAAAAATGGCGTTAACGGATATCAATGCGGCTATTTTCAATTTTTTTGTAAAGATCTTCAGGAGTATTTCTCATATGAGTAAATACTGCATCCTCCCTCCTCTGGCCAGCAGAGTTTCACCCAAAGACCTTTGTTTTAAATTACAAAAAGCTGAACTAACACATTGTTGTAATTGAGGACAAAGAGACTGTGTTCTGACCAAGTTAACCAGGATCTATGAGGTTCCTAGTGATTGTTCTAATCTTCTAAGAATTCATCTGAAGGCATAGTTAAAAGCTAAAAAATATAAAAACTGGACATAACAGTAGTTCATTACAATTCGTAATGTGAATGGTGGCGGAAGAAATGCCTCGACTGCTGTTGACCGCTGTATTTAATGTATAACATATAGTGAACCACATGTTTTTAGTTTGCAGGGTTGGATCGATGTCATCATAGCATGTGGTTTGAACAAGTGTTCAGTAAATGGGATATAGTCACATGTATTTCAGTTAATAAAGACTGATTTTGCCCTTTTGTACAGGTGGATAGAAAAATATTTGGCTTGATTAATTTGTTTGGACCAAAATGTATGTTAAAAAGTTATCTTCAGTTTCTTTAGTTCCTTAAAAATTACATTGTTTTTGTAGAAATGTGGTTTAAAAGTGACAAGACAATAACTGACAAAAATAACAAAAAATGTAGCATGAAAATTATTTTTCAAAAGAATAACTTGAAAAATAGTTTAATTTTCAAATGTTCCAGCTATTATTCATTAATGTAATATGTTTTCCATTTAAGATCACTTAAATGGAAAACATATTTTTCCTGGTAGCAAAACGTCAATTTAACGTGACTATTTTGTGGTTTAGGACAACAGTGGTGCTCTTTATGTGTGACAGCCCTTGTTTTAGGGCTGCTGTCACTGTTGGCTTTCAAAAAGAGTAGTTCATAGCGAGAATAAATGTGTGAGAACGAAAGGTTGACAAACTTTTGTCAGTGTGATTTATTAGAAAACTAATTATACGTTGGAAATTTCTTGTTGTTTTTCTGCCCAAGTTGAACGTTTTTTTGTGTTGTTTTTCATTGGGTGCTTATGCTTTGAGGAAGTGTCACAGTTCTCTGGGGGTAGTAAGTTAGAGATGGGGGGAAGGGATATTTGCATACCAGTTTGCCCAAAGGGGAGGGTGAGCATCTATCATGCTTTGTAATTTGTTGAGCAACCAAACTGGTAAGGAAGCCTGTGAGGGATTTTGGTCTACCTCTATAAGTAGTGAACATTCATTTATCAACAGGGGTTGCCCTCCACTCTGCTTTGAAAAGTCTAATAAATGATTTTATTAGACTTTATTGTCCAAACAATGAACTTCCAAACAAAGTCATTGTTTGGCATTTGTTTTATGCTTTTAGATTAAAACAGAAGACCTCAACGACTCCCCTCATTCAGCATCCTCAGTGAAGACATGCCACCTCACACAGAGCTCTCCAGTGCATGGGAGTCAGTTAACTGGGGTAAGACAGACTCCATTAAATAATGCACTTTGTTAATATCCTGGAAAAGTCTAAAACCTCTTTTGTTAGCAATGCAAACAAAAGGACGCTTTAAACCATATAAGTGTATTAAAGTAACATATCCAGGTTATATGGAAAAGGATTAGGGCAACTGAAGAAAAAAAAAATTCTGACTTTTGTTTCTCCAGAATTCTGACTTCTTTAATTTCAGAATTTTGATGTTTTTTTTTTCCCTCAGAATTTTGACTTTAATCTGAGAAATTTGACCTTTTTTTTTTTTTTTTTTTTTTTTTTTTTTAAATTCCCCTTTTTTTCTTAAATTTTGGTTTTTTTAAAACACTTTTTTTTAATTCCCTC